AATCGTGGATTTTTATACGTATAATTAAATGACATATAAAATTCACAATTATAGCCAAATGCGGCACCGGTGGCGCACTAGTGTGTATTTACTATATCTATAGCCGTATCCCGAATATATATTTCCTTACTATAAGCCGTAAAGATTGGTAGCGCGTGAAATAATCAATTGGCAGTGTACCACCGGTGACCAATGACGATTTTTGGCAAGATGATCGATGTACCACCGGTGTACCACGTCGTCGTGAACGTGTAAAAAATTAATGCGAAGCAATTTTAGGGACAAAACCGGAACGTCGTTGCTAACCTTCTACATCCGCTTCACGTGGAGAAGATGGACGGAACGGAAACATGATGCGTCGACAGATGACATGTGATTGTCGCGACGGAATGTGGAACTGTAACCATCATTGTCAAATTTAGGTATAATGTATACGAGGGAGGCTCGATAAAACCTCATCCTAATTACCAGAATGCTGAATTAAATTTGTACTGGAAAAAAGTGTAGTTCATATGAGTTTACGAGTGTAAGATAGTGATACACGCTTAAAAAGATGGGTTGTGTGAATTTATATTAATTTTTTTTATTACTTTCGTGAGTGAAATGAATCAATTAACAGGATAAACAATTGGAAATGTATTTTAATTTTGGGACGACGTGACGTTAGATCGACTGGGATATGTAGCCGTTATAACTTTTCGCAATTCAACAAGGTAGGAATAAATGACACTAAATTGCTCAACATCAGCCTTTTTATTCATGCAATGATGTGTCATGAAAATGTGAGACATTTCTAAGAATAGACGTTTTGAGAGTATTTTTATTTTTGTCATATACTTCGAAGTTTGTGATACTTTATAAAACAAGGTAAATTTTTTTTTTTATTTTTACACACATATTTTGGTTTATCTTCCTTCTGCAATCATTATCTGAAAATTAATGACTCAACTTCAAAGTATATATATATATATATATATATATATATAGTATACAGGGTTATCCAAATTAAGTGTCCACCATTAGTAACTTTGTTATTAGTGAAAATACAAAGTTGTTTGAATTAGCAAACTAGTAGCATTTTTAACGCTGGTAAAAATGAGAAATAAAAAAAAACAATTGAGAGTCGTTATTTTGATTTTTTTCAGTAAAATAACATTTTTTTAAATGGAAACCCCTGTATATTATATTTTTTTCTGTTAAAGCATCAAATTTTAAACAAAAAAGTTCATAATGACTTTTCCGCTAAAGTCAAAAATAAAGTCAAAATAACGATAAATATTTTTAATTATTTGCAGTATTATAATATTAAGACGGCTATGAAAACAACATGGCGTTCGCGATTTGACAGCATTAAGATAAGCGACAAATTGTTAAACTGGACATACTCGCAACTAGAAGGCTTTGGAAAACAATGATAAAATCAAATAATGTCAAACATTAGTGTAAATACTTGTTTATAAGCTTTATTGTGTCATTAATTTAAAGAAAAATGTTCTCCCATGAAGAAAAGTGTGATATGTTAGAATGCTATTTAGTGTGCAGAAAATCCTCCTTGAGAGCAAGAGAATACTACAGTGAATTATATCCCGCTCGCATTCAACCGTATGAACGATATTTTCTGAGACTTTATCGAAAATTTAGGGGCAACGAAAATGTTTTTGCTAAAACAGGGGCAAAAAAAGAATTCATAATAAGCGAGGCCACGGAAATTGCAGTTATTGGATATTTTGAAGCTTATCGTGAGAATTCAATAGCAGATATTCTCAAGGACTCTAATTTCAGTTATGGTACTGTTCAAAGGATTTTAAAAAAATACAAATTTATTCCGTATAAGTACCGACCAGCTCAAACGCTTTTGGCAGGGGATCCAGAGAGAAGACTTGTTTTTTGCCATTGGTATCTTAGCTTCTGTCGCCAAAATGTAAATAACTTTCGTTACCTTTTATGGACAGATGAATCAAATTTTTCAAATTCTGGAATGTTTAATAGAAAAAACCACCATTATTGGTCAAGAGAAAATCTTTTGTTAGTACATCCAAGAGGCCCACAAGTCCGTTTCAGTTTCAACGTTTGGTGCGGTATAATTGGTTCAAAAATTGTTGGCCCGTTCTTTTATGAGGGAACCCTAACTGGTGAAAGATATGTGGAATTTATGTCAGAAATTCTGACTAATTTCTTAGACGAATTGGATCTTATAAGTAGACATCATCTGCATTTTCAGCAAGATGGCGCACCTGCCCACAACTCCAGAGGTACTTATCATTTTCTAAGTACTACTTTTAATGATCAGTGGATAGGAACAAATGGCCCAATACAGTGGCCTCCCAGATCACCAGATCTAAACCTACTTGATTACTTCTTGTGGGGTTACTTAAAGAACCAAATTTACAAGCGAAGGTACGATAACCTTGACGCGTTAAAGACTGCAGTTAGGGAAAAGATAACCCAGATAGATGGTAGGACCATACTTAAGACAGTTTGAGCAGTTGAAAAACGTGCCCAAAAATGTATTGAAGAACAAGGTGGTGTTTTCGAGCATCTTCTTTAAAAAAAATTGTTATTGTATTTTGTAAGATTATAAGTTGATGTTGAAAATAAAGTTTGTCGATACAATTTAATTGTTTCAGATTGGAGGCCATAACTTCAACAATTTGTAACCTAGGAGAAAAGTTATTGTAAGCTTTTTTGTTTAAAATTTGATGCTTTAACAGAAAAAAATATAATATACAGGGGTTTCCATTTAAAAAAATGTTATTTTACTGAAAAAAATCAAAATAACGACTCTCAATTGTTTTTTTTTATTTCTCATTTTTACCAGCGTTACAAATGCTACTAGTTTGCTAATTCAAACAACTTTGTATTTTCACTAATAACAAAGTTACTAATGGTGGACACTTAATTTGGATAACCCTGTATATATATATATATATATGGAGCCAAGTAGACTAAGTATTTTTACTATTCTACGCAATTCTATAAATTAGAACGTGATCAACTTAAAAATATAAAAAACAGACCAAAGCAGTTGCACGTAAAATATATAGTCGACACACTTGTCCAACATACTTAATGAAATTCAAATTTTTGCTTTGTTTTATACAAGGTAGAATAGTCTGTTTTAATAGTAGGCTTTTAAAAATGATATCTATGTATTAAAAAAAAGTGTAGTAAACAGGCTTGTGTCAACGTTTCATCAAAATCAGAGCGCTACTTTTCAAGTTATAGAGAGGATGATTAGGAACATACAAACAGATCAACAGACAGACGGAAAGTAAACATACTCAATTCAACAGATGTATATTTATTCATAAATGCAAAGCCTGTTCTATTTGACGTTATGTAGGTTTTCCCACAAGATTTTAACTTAGCACTTAGTTGTACGTGTTGCCTAAACGTCATGAGGCTTGTTATCAATCTTTGGCTCTGATTTGATATAAAATCTGCTTCAGAGGTGGCATTACTGGAGGTCTAAGGGGTAAGTTGTATGTGTTGATGATAATTAGGTACATTGGGTTCTTGTCTCAAATACACTTAATTGATATTCAAAGCTAGAAATTAGTTGCGCAGCCAGTTTTTCCTGTTCCATTCTGTAAATTAAATATACAAATTTGCTGAATTTCAAAAATGAGAGAGCTAAATACTGTTTTAGACTACACAATTTGTTGTACAAGATTTGGTTCAATTCCTTGTTCAGGATATATTGTGTAGTATCATACAGCGAATTGGTTAAAAAGCTTAAATTGAACAAGAAATTGTTTGGAATATGGAACATGTTCTATTTTTCAATCAATTTTATAGGCCCGGCGTATGCGCAGTTATCATAGCTTCTCCAAGATTATACCTAACCTCACCTGTTTGTTCTTGTTTTGGTTGTGTCGTCGTTGGGTAGTGAATTTTTTATTTTCGTTAGTTAATATCAGCTTTCTTTTTAAACAGGTGAGAAAATATTATCTAAGACTCGATCTTATCATTGTTATAGCTTATATTCCTTTCTCTCATTTTTTCGTTTATTTGCGAGTCTTTTAATTCGGCCGTGCACCACTTCGCAAAGATGTACCTGATAAGGCAATGTCTCTTTCCAGCTTCATAGTACAAACCAGCGGATTACGTAACCAGCTACTCGTAACACCATACAGTTAATGAAATCAGAACTATTTTAGTCAATTCAAAATCACTTTTTGTTTTTAATTTTTGACAGTTCGGTGACACTTTGTGAGTGACAGTGACAAATTTGACATTTACAGATTGATTCTTGACAGGCAGAATCTTAATGCGCATTTTTAAACAGGAAACAATTTTTCATTCAAGAAATTGAACCAAATCTTGTACAATAAATTGTGTAGTCTGAAATAATTATATTCACTGTACACTTTCGAATTACAAGCCATATACATGCTAACAGTAATTAAACACAACGCGGGCGTGGTGATAATTTCCCGTAATTCTCCTCAGTTTTTCGTGATTTATAACTTTGAACATAACCTCTCTTCAGGATGCACAACATAAACATAATTCGTCGGGCACAGCTAATAGATATACTTCATTGGCAGCATATTCAGTAATGATTTTCTCACACAGCAAATATCAGTGATTTTATACACATGCAGACCAATACACATAATCATCCAGATGCGGTCTTGCTTCAACCAACTTGCTTCTCAGAGATAAAAACTAGGGACCAATCAGCCTCACAAAATAACCAATAATGCGTGTAGTTTAGTTGAGTGATTCCTTCATAGATGGACGTTCACAACGATCCTAGTGAGCAAACGTGGGATGACTGCGCCCTAAAGACTACCTACTTCGCAAGCTGACATCTTATGTGTTTTTTGACGTTTTATAGGTTTTTTACATAATGCCCGTGCCGTACAGATGAGGCGATCTAGAGCACGAAACAGTGCTGTCTATGGTTGGTCATAGTAGCAGAGACCGAAATGAATCATATTCACGTTAGCCGATAATGTCTCATTTTTGCAGTTTTCCGCGGTTATAATAGTAAAATGAAATCGTGCAGGTCAATCCAGCACTTCCAGTGTATTAATGGAAATTCGTTTTTGATCTAGCATATAAGTTTCTCTAGCACACCTTCGCTTTATAATATGTGTTGCCCCAAACTTCAGACCAACTGCAAATCGCCTGTATACAAAAAGGCTCGTAAAGAGCATCGACTGCAACACCATATGCTGCACCCATCGCGTCGGGTGGCGGAGCCTAATGCAATACCAAACAAAATAACATCTGTAAACAGACACAAATACAGCGGTTATAAATTCATATAGCGCGGCGTATGAGGATGTAGGGGTGAGGAGGAAGAGAGGGAGAGAGGGGCTTACGGAATAATAGTCCGCGTAATTATTACAATTCCGATCAGTGATGGGTTCGACAGAGGGGGCCTATACATTATTAATTTTTGAAAATTTCTCTGTCTATCACATATTGGTCTAATAATAGTACTTCATGTCCATCGCCACAGTGGCCGATTCTAGTAATAGATAGAACAAATACTTTCGTAACTTCTATCAACCACATACCCCTAATAAAAGGATCGAACTGATGGAGTGACAATTGTTGTTTCATTGACGATCTGGGCCTGCCCCAACCTCGGGGCGATACATTTGGATCGGACTCACCGAGGGCTCATAGCCTTTGTGACCTTCGTGGCACCTTTTTCCCTTTCGTACGTGTCTCTGTCAAAATTATATTGCCCTCTTGTCTTAGTACTAAGGGTCGTTGTTAGTAATGTCCTGACTGGTTAAGTTGGTAATGAAATGTCCATAGGATCATAGCTTGATATTGTGGTAATTGCTGCACATGGATACGATGACCTTTAGTTTCTTCTAATAAAAATTACGGCGAATTATTTTTACCAAAATCGTTTTTTACAACTGGGATCAACAAGTCATTCAGTAATAAAACGATTTTCACTCCTACCAAAGACGCAACACCTGCAACCCCCTAGTACCACCAACTCTCAATTTTTAACTACCTAAATTTCTTTCTGGAGCCTCTTTAACAATCTTAAGCGATTTTAGGTTTTTTCATTTTTCTTTTTCTCATATCTTCTCTGCTCCTGGATTGATTTTCAAAACATTCAAAAGTTATTTGTCCTCGACATCGTAATAAGCTTTCGTCATTTCAGCGACACCCGAACGGAACTTTACAGGTTACAGAGCAGCCAAGGATCTGTGGAGAGACAGACATACATAACCAGGGGAATGAGTTTTTTTATATATCGAAGTAGACGCGTAGATAGAAGCCTTAATACCGGGGCACTGCTGTACCATATTGTTACGTTTCCAAGCAGTGATAACCATCAGAGATTGGTTTGGCACTCAGAGTTCCAACATGTAGAGTGCTGTCATCAGCAGAGCTGCGGATTGGATTAATCATACACGACAGAAAGTCATTGATATGTAACAGAAACAATGGTTAATATGGCTTTCCTTCATAAATATGTCATGTAATATACAAAAAAAGATAATATTCCATTATAGGATTTTTTTCGCGATTACTATTCTTCCTCGCCAATGAAGTTTTTCTCTAGGACTTAACGAGCCACCCCTGAGAACTGAAAGGGCGCATTCATTAATTTTTCCCGGTCGCCGTTGGTAGAATTAAAATTAATTTGCGCGGTATTTGGCGAACAAACAAATTTTATATAATAATTAAATATTGCCCGACGAGCATTGATGTGTCAGGGTGGGAGTAGGGAGCGTTGTCACCCTGCTAACGGGTTTAAACACACCCTACAGACTGGCAATTAGCGGTGAATAGTAAATTAGCATTACACTATGCCGATTTATATTCACGGTGATTCAAAAACTGTGACATATTTGGGGTAGTGGAATTTTGTTTTCAAGTAAAACAAACAGTATTTGAAAAATAACGTCCTTGCTCATTCAGTTCTGACGTTTCTGTCAATTTAATCATCATCCGACTGTTTTGAGAACCTTGTACTGTCGATTATGAGGTATAGAATGGAGTCTACTGGAGTAGACCTCCTTTCATAAAAAACCGTTACAACTCGTTCGACAAGGACAAAACCGTACTAAAAATAAGCTTTTATGGACCAACACTTGTGATTTTTTATAAAAAAATTGATATACTTTAAAGACGGTTACAGTGAGGTATCCGGTATTTGCATCAAATGTATTCAGAATCATGCGAAGATTTCAACAATTGAAAAACATGCATGATGCTCCACTTAAAATTAGCAACTTGATATCTACCTACGGTGCCACCGCTGTACCACCATTGTAAAAATATTTTAGCCGATTTTCTAACACGAGTGATACCATAACCCTAAGGTTTCATAATTATCTAACGTCAATTTTTAAGTAATCGATCTCTGCAGCCCTTCATGGCCATATAACTGGCTACAGCGCCGTCTACGACACTAACCTTTCCAAAGGATGTATATCAAATAGAGGAGCAGCTGTGAAAAATTCTCATAGATGACGTTGCGGGTTCATTCTAGCGCGCATAATTTGTTGGACGCATACATAGCATTAGGTTGGATCTCTTCAGGTAAAATACGTTAATCGATGGATGTATTGTGAAAGTAAAATTGTAGGTATTGACCTTGAGCATGACCTCGAAGATTGAACCAAATATGGGAAGTTCTTTTTTAAATGGGACCCTATGCTTTTGACTCCGAAGACGGATTGGGCGAGAAATTCTATTTTTCGTTATGACGACGGTCGAAAATTATTTTGACCTTGATGACATCTTGTTTGAAAAGATTGTTGTATCATTTGAAGTTGGAGCACACGAAAGGACTCAAAGGCAGGAGATCTTTCAATATTTCTCTGGCTTTTCACTGCTGTTCTTGAAACTGAGCTTTACCATGGCCATTACTGTGTTCGGAAACTTTTACGTTTAGCTATGCCCTTGTGTGAAAATGGTTTTGACCTTGGACATCGTTGTCAAGGTTACCGTAAAAAAACATGTTCGAAATCTGAAGTATATGCCTTTATCCACTGCTCGATGTCGGCATTTTTTCTGGAATTCAGTATTACAATAATTGAAAACACAAGTGGAAAGAGGTGTAATGTAACATTTTTTTTAAAAATTGCATTTGTGCGTTAAACTAACCTTAAGGAGTGATTATTTAATTCCGTGAGTACTTTGTTACAAAAACAAGATGATTACAAACTAATTTAACTAAATTTTTAAATTGTAACTAAAGCAAAAGGTTTCAATAAAAATGTTTAAAGTCAATTTTCTCGATACAATGATTTTGTTATGCCATAAATATTGCCACCATGTTTCGAATCACTCTGTATGATATGCAGATGCTATTTGAAAATCCCATTGCTATGTTGTTTTTGCGGTAACCGTGGTGGAAGGATGGACGTGTTATATTGATACAATACTTTGCGGTTAGGTTGTATAGCATTTCGAAACCTTTATTTACCCATTTGTTAAGCGATTTACCAAACATATTTTGCTGACCAGGGACGCTAACAGTAAGTATCAAATAAATTAGCATTGAAGGAGAATGAGTATTCTGGTACACAGACCAATATCAATGCATTATATAAAGTTAGATATATCTTTTCAATTGGAAAAGGACTTTTATGGTAAAAAAAAAATGAGAATTCGTTTGTCATTTTGGGATTAATACCATTTTACGTGTTTTTAATCCAATATCGGAAATATATTGGAGCAGATGCTTGGACAAATCTAGTATATAGAATATGAAAGGAGCATTTTGTAAAGCTCCATCGGTCTTTGAGCTTAGTTCTGTTTTAGCCCCACCGCTTCTCAATATGTAGAATGTTTTCAATCTCACCAACATGTAACTGATAACAGGTGAAAGAGCAAAACGCAATCACAGAAAAATTAAAACAAGGATTACATGACCAAACGAACTTACCTGTAAGTGATGTTCGATTCTAATTATGTGAAGGTCTCGTTGAAGTAAATACAACTTGTAGTACCCTCGTATCTCACCAAACCCAGGAGTTCAAAGCGCGCATACCGCGCCGCCTACCTTCCTCCTCTTTGACGTCCTACAGCCTCACATTTTGTTCAAAGCCAAGTTGTTGCAACAGTTGGGAGGTTATAGGAGGCCAGAGAGGAGGAAGGTAGGAGGCGCGGTGTGCGTAATTTGAACTCGTGTGTTTGGTGAGATACGAAGGTACTACAAGTAGTATTTACTTCGACGAGACTGATACATAATATAGTATAAACACACTAAATGTAAATAGCACGAACAGTTGAATAAAATTGTTCTGACGATCACATTGGGAAAACTGTTAAAAGCGCACAAATTGTATAAAAACAAAGGGCATTCAAACATATTAAGTGGATAAAATATAGCGCAGACCAATTGAATAAAATAAAGCTTATGACGATCAGAGTATTAGCTCTGAAATGTCATTTAGAAACTCATCAAATATGTAAGAGGTTTTTTCAGTTAGGTACTTCATTTTGTTCTTGAATGCACTATTGCCAATCTGTCTACATGGCATTGAAGGACCTAATGCCAACGAAGTCGGCTCAGAATATTCATTTCCTTAGGCTTAATTGTGGCCAAACCAGATAATTTCGTGTGCTATATTGATGCACCGTGCCATGGGTGATATATTTCCCTTGGTTGTTGTATACATGACTTAAACACAGTGAAACGTATAGGATAGGTATTTCATTATTTGTTTTATCTTGAATGTGGTTCTACATAGCTCTGTATATTTTAAGCCAAACAGATATCTCACGCGTCGTGATTGTTTCCCAAAGACTTTAGCCATGTGAGACCCCACTTAATAAGTGCATATATCAACTTGCTGTGTAAATTTGAGTAGTAGCTTGTGAGAAGGATACTTTCCGACATTGCTTTTAGATTGCGGATTACAAACATCCATCTATAAACAGATTTGAGAAGATGCTCCACATCTGCACCCCATCAATATAAATGCCTATAAAATTTGCGGCTTGCAGTTTATCAATGTCATGCTTATGTAGGTTGGTAGCAGATGTCTGCGTTTCGGAGTCATTCATGGTAAACTTGTA